CAAAATTCAGACCTTCCTTCCTCCATAGCTTTTCTGCAATCCTGAAGACAAAAGCTAAAAACTTAACACAGCCAGCAACACAAATTAATTTCTAAGTATGTGATTATAGCACAAGCCAAGAAGTGTCCCCAGATCTCTCAATCACTTACTATGCTACAAGATGTTTCAAATAGTTATACACTGCAAATTCTCAAATCACAAATTTGAGGAAACCTCACAAATAGATCCTTACTCTATGTGTGGGAACATGGACACTACAGAGAAAAAATAATTGCTCACTGAAGTTTCTCTCTTTCAAGAATACAAAAAATGAGATATTACATGGTGGCTATATGAATACTTTGAGACATTTTAATTCTCTCCCTGAACTCCTCCTGTTAGGCCTTACCCTTACACTTCAGTCTCATTTAGAATACCTAGCCTTGGAATTTGCAAACCATTCAGACAATGAGGAAGTCCAGAGGCACATGGGGAGATATACACAGTGCCTTCTCTAACAAAGAATCCTCATACAGAAGAAAATGGATCTCATTTGTATGAGATCTACATTTAGGAAGACTTGCATCTTTAGTCCTGTCAAGGTAAATTAGGATTTGTGTGGGTTAAACAGATGGCACTATAGAAACGTACTGTGAGAAGTGACTATTGCCAGATACTTTGATTTTTACATTTTAGAGTATGAAATCATAGAATGGTTTGGGTTGGAAGGGACCTTAAAGATCATCATTCCAACCTCCTGCTATGTGCAGGGACACCTTCCACAGGTTGCTCAGAGGCCCATCCAGCCTGGCCTTGAACAATTCCAGGGATGTGGAATTGTGTTCATCCACAACTTCCCTGGGTAACCTGTGCCAGTGCCTCACCATCCTCACAGTAAAGAACTTCCTCCTAGTATCTAACCTTTACACATTCTCCTTCAGCTTTAAGACATTCCCCCTTGTCCTACTACTACAACATAGCCTTTCTCTCCAGCCTCCTTGTTGGCCCCCTTTAGGCACTGGAAGGCTGCTCCAAGGTTTCCCCAGAGCCGCCTCTTCTCCACATCGAATCATCCCAACTCTCTTGGTCTTTCTTCACAGGAAAGGTGCTCCAGCCCCCAGATTATCTTTGCAGCTCTCAGTTATGCCTCTGTCCCCTCAGCAGGCTTAGGGCAATGTTGTTTAATTCACTCTGGGCAATGTGGCAAATTTTAAAATACCAACAAAGTAAGTAAGGCACTTCACAAACTTGAATTTAGCAAACTTACAAGTAGCCAACTTCAACCTATCCAGACACAACAAGGCACTTCCTAAGGCATTGACTGGAATTTTTTAGTCTGTTTTACAATATGTTTTGAGAAAAAATAGGAGAAGAAAGAGGGAAAGAAAGAGAAGGAAAGGATAATGGTAGAAAAACATCACCACCTGTGGATCCATCAATGAAACTTCAGTGTTGCAATTTTGATGTCCATTGGTCAAAGTGATGGCCACAGTCTTTATTGATCTACGGTAGGGGAAGACCACAAAACACAAACTTCAGTGTGTTAATATGTACTCAAGTTCAGGTGGAACACCCAGGTACTTTCCCTGGGGTGGGGACTTTCACACTGTCTGATGCAACGCTGTGAATCATGCTGTAAAACTGTGGATTATGCCCATTCCTCTGCTGGAAGGCCCCAGAAATGACTCTGGGGACATTCTGGGCGTCTCTGATAGTTTATGACACCTTCTCTCACATCAGTATAATAGAGTCATTTACACTCTATCAGAAGGGATGATTAAGGTGAATGTCCCAGTAGCTTTTCCGGGCTGGAGTGGGGAGAGGACTTTTACACCTGAGCCAGTTGTGTAAGGGATGACAGTTCTAGAATTAAAAGCATTATCCCACCTTGCAGGATTTGCTTATCAGCCTCTTCCCTTATCTAGCTCAAATCCCAGCTTCTTGCTAAGCAAAGGTTGATTTGTCATGGTCATCTGGTGCTCACACCCCCTGCACACAGGTTGTTTCTTGAGCATTGACAGCAAAACATCCAGATTGTTTGAGACATTAACCATTAATGTTTCAGTCTCTCACACCCTCCTGTGGACCTGCTAGCGCACAATAAAGATTTTTGGAAGGGCAAAACATTTAAACAACTGTGAACCACCATACAATTTTGTGTATTTCATATTTAATGAACGTGTGCATAAACACACACACACACACACACTCACGTGTTTCTATATACATACATATATAGATACATATATATATATGTTTCTATATACATACAATTTTTTTATACATGTATGAATATAAAAGGTGCATTATTTCAGGGCCTCACCCTTGTTTAACAGTACGTGAGGACCGTAAACAGCCCATTAATTTCACATGCACAGACGTCAGCTGCTGCTGCCCGAGGGACAGGCCGGCCTGACACAGCATCTGGCGGGCGGCAGGGACCAAAGCACTGAGCCCATTTTTTGGAAAAGTTTGCCATCTAGAGGCCATATCAGGCAGCACCGGGAGAGGAAACCACCTTAGCAAAACAAAAAACAGATTAAGTGGATTTTCTGGACGTCTGTAGGCATATTTAGTTCAAAAGAGGACTGCCTTTAATATATTTAATGTTTAGCTTTGTTAGCAGTAACATCTGAAAGTGTTGAGCTGATGCTTTTCCCCAAATTAGAATCAGTTCTTCACTCAGTGTAATGAGCTTGGTTATAGTGAAAGGGAATTTAAAAAATATTCATAAAATATAACCAAAATAATTAATCTTAATCTTTTTACTGAAATAAAGATCTTTTCAGAGACCATCTCCTGCTCAGCTGGTTCAAGAAAGATCAAATAAGTAGTAAAAACAAGTATGTTTATCACAGACAGAACTCAACAATTGTGTCAGAAAAAGGCAAAAATTTATTTTCTTTGAAGTATCATCCTTTTTGTTGTCCGTACAAATATCTATCAATCTACATGAATTTTTATCTCTGAAAAATGTTGACTGGGGGTATATGTACAAATCACAAACGGGATGGGACTGCTGTGAAAAAAAAGCCTTGAGCTGTTTTATTTTTCAGCATCAGTCTCATTACATGGTTATGACAATGGGAAGATGCCATCAGCTCACATCCCAGGCAGCAGACGAAGAACTTAATGTTACAACTTACTTTATAAGTTTCTTGACCAATCACACAAAGCAAAAGCACATTGACAGTAGTTCTAACCAATCACCATAAGCACACGTACCTTTGGTTAAAACAATGCCTGCTTATTTCGAATACAATACCTGCTTGTAAACCTTAAAACACAATGCACAGAGCTCCATTATTAAGCTTAAAACTTCCTAATATCTTGCCAGATAAACTTTTCTGTAGCTTAGGCAGTTATTCTAGACAAGTGTTAATACACAGACCATTGTTCTATTTGTCCTTGCTTTTCTACTTTTTAAATAATTTTTCTGCTGACCTATCTCATGGCTACTGCTTAGCTCCAGTCACAGTTCTGCTGTCTCTGAGGCCTGCATCTTGCAGCTTTCCCCAAACCCTCTGATTTTGTGGATTCCCACAGACCGGTATTTCCATTTTCATTTGTTTATGTCAAATTAGAGAAGAAAATAATTTTAGAATGAAACTAACATCTTAATCTTTTAAAGGTGTTTTAATGGTATTTGGCAAACTTTCCAGCAAAGTATTAAGAAAGACAGCAATGTTATCGTTTCAGGAGCATTTGTGCATAAATCTGTCTCCCTTGGTTTTAAGGATTTCATTTTGCTCTCTCTTTTCAGATGAAGTAGATAGTAATTTGGTTATGCAGTGTTCTTGCTTACTCTGGCATCAAGAGAAGATGTCTTTTGTACCCAGTTGCCCAGGAGATACAAAAAAATTTCAAGGGCAGTAAAGTAAGATATTTGAGAAAAAGACAGTAGTCTGGAAAATTCCCTCTATTTGAGGCATATTTTCTACATGAATTAGGTGATGCTCCCTGCATTTTCACTATGACAAAAGATCAAGTGTTAAAGATCAGCACCAAGATCAGACTTGCACCAATGGGTGTTTGGCAATGTGGAAATGAAGACAGTGGGGAAAATTTTCAGAGATCTTTGGCCTCCTGAAGCTCTTTTCACTAAACTGCAATAGACATTTTGATGAAATCATGTTCAAATACATCTTGCTGGAATTACTGAACAAAATTAGAGCACGGTTTCCACATGTCTTGATGGATTTATCTTCCTTAATTTTTGTTGTCATTATTTTATTGGCATTGGAGTCTATGTAAATGTTTAGCTCGTGTAGAACCTGAGGCAAACAGTTCCAACAGCTCTGTTTCATTTGCATGTGGGTGGTATCCTTTTGCTTACTTGAATGTATCACCAAACAATTTCATATGATGGCCCTTATTTCTTGCATTGATCAACCATTCCTAAAGCTGTGGCAGTTTTTTATACAGGGATAGTTCCCAGTCTTAATTTACAGGTGTAGGTGGAGTATGTTTTCATGATTTTCTCTAATTCCAATAAAAATTCTCCCAAGCCCCTGTGTTCACCAGGCTCAACTGAGCAGAAGTTTAGAGATGTCTTCCTTTCATCAGAGACACCAAATAGCAAACTCCATAAATTAGAAGATACATGATTACATCCTAGGAAAACACCGGACTGACATGCAGAAAATCTCTGTTTCATTCTTCATTTAAGTGAACTTAGTCCAAATAGATCTTTATTATGATTCCCCACACAATATGGGTCAGATAATGATATCTGTTGTAAAACAACCTGACATCCATAAATGAGACATTCATAACAGCTGAACATTATTAACAAATGAACTCAGAAACTTGTGTCTTTTTTTTTGTCAGGTAGGTTCATCCAGAGGAATTCAAACTCTAAGATCAAAAATCTGAAGAAGCAGCAATTATTTGTCAGTAGTGCCAGAGAAATCTTGGTGGAAATAACTGGCTAAAATTGTACACTACTTCCCCAAGGCAAGTAAGAGCTTGCAGCTACTTGTTAGCTGAGAAAGAACTGGATCTACTAGTGAAAAAAACCGTAATAGAAAAAACTTCATTTTATTGAATTTTTAAAATACATTTCACACATTTTGCTCCAGTATGCTCAGAGGTAAGTACAGTTTTTCCTGTATTACTCCACACAGAATATTTTTATTCTACAATGATTCATTTTTTCTAACATAAAAGCATATAGTTTTATGTAGCATATATCATAAAATTGGGCTTTACAAAGAAGCTAAAATGAATTAGTTCCTTTGTAAATCCTACTTCTACTGTTCTGATTAGTACAAGCAGATGTTACTTGGCTGCTTTTTGTCCTTTCAAAATTGTACAGATGTGTATTAGTCATAACGAAGACATCCTCTCTCTACAGAGCCTGCACAGTGTTCACTGCCAATGCATTTAAAGGAAAATAATTTTGAGCTTTGCATTGATTTGCAGCAATTCTTCTCTTCAGGAATCAAATACCACACTGCTTTCTAATAGGAATTTAATTAATTCCTCTTGTTCAACAATTAATTAGTTCATGGTTTCTGTGTATGTATTGAACATGCATATTGACAGTTCTTTATGAGAAGAGGAAAGACATGAGGAAACAGTACACAATTTAGTCACACTTTGCAAATATAAATCTTAGCAATATCATACAGTGTGCTTCATGAGGGAACTGTACTCTTCTACCAATTTCTTCTTCTTATTTAATTTTTCCAGTACAGCATCCATTAAGTATGAGGCAAAAGGAAACTGTCAAAAAACAGAGTTAGAAAAATTATCATTAAACTTTATTTTCTTCTTGTGAAATACATTTTTTAAATATCTTTAAACTATCAGATTTCACTTAGTTCTGACAACTACCACACACACATTTCTGATCTTTAAAGTTCATCTGCCTGGTTAGTGTCTGAAAATTTGCTCTCTATCATAAAAATGATAAAAGAGCAGTGTAAAATGAAAAAAGATAAACTCCTTATTGAACAATTCATGCTTTACTGACCATGTTAATGATGTAAACTGCAGTACCAGCATCTCTGTCATTTATCTTCAATCAGCTGATCAATAAAAGGTTACAGTCACCTCTAGGGCATGCAGAAATGGTAGTGTATGAGTGTAAGTTCACTACTCTCAGGAGGATGAGACAGAACTACCAGTATAATTCTCAATGCTATAGCAAATTGCCTTAGACTCACACACAAAACCTTGCAAATAATTAAACAAACAACAACAAAAATCCCCAAAAAAACAAGAACAAAACCCCAAAACAAAACAAACAAAACCACAAAAAAATATCTCAAAGCTAAGTAAAATCCCAAACCTCCAACTGCATTAATTGGAATATGACACAAATGTCTGCTTCTCTATAACATGATACCAAAAAATTGTAGTGACATATCTACAGAGAAAAACTAAAATCTCCTTTAACCTCTCTGCTATAAAAGATGCACTTGCACAAGCAATGCCTTCAAAGGAGATTTGGTATATTTTTCAGTGTCATCACTTTAACACTTAAAGAGGTTTTCTTTCAAAGTCTTGGTATATCAGTGCACTGTTTGCTGGGAAGTATTTTTAGAGGTGGTAAAGAGGAGTGGTTGTGGCAGCTCCATCCTGAGTGGCCAGTGCTGTGCCAGAGGAGAACAGGAAGGTTTCCCTACACTGTTGAAAAGTCTCTGTCAGCTTCACAGAACTCTGTCAGCTTACTGAACACATGGTGAGACAGTGCTAAGTGAGGGGTCAGTACTACGCCAAAAGTAACAGCTCGCTCAGGAGGAGAGATATTTTTACATTATAAAGACACCAGAAATGAATAAGGTAAAATATAGTAGCTGGTGGAACAAGCTGCTGGCCAATCATCATTTTTCTGCTTCTCACATCTTTAGTTCAAAACAACACATTTCCATCTAGAACTCCTGTCTAGTTCCACACTTCAGTATTGCTGCTCTAGTTTCATTTTTTCACTTCTCTGTGCCACCTGAAAGAGAAAATTGTATGGTCCTTACTCCAGATAGAGTAGTGCTTGTTTCCTAAATAGGCATGAATTAAAAATTATAAAAGAAACAAATAAAAACCCCAGATATACAGCACATCAAATACAAAATGTAATATTTGAACTGATATACAGACACGAATCTATATACTGATACTTATAATTGCTAACAAGTCAGAAAAAACATCTAAAAAAGGAAAATCTTGTTAATAGAAGGCATGTACTGTGAAGTGATAAAATGGCATCCTAAGTGCTGCTCAACAGTCACCTTATAGTTATAGAGAAAGGACAACAATATGTATTATTTCCTTTTTCTACAGGGAGGGGATTTTCAAGGGCTGGTGCTTGCTGGCCAGACATGTCTCCATCTGTCCTAAATAACTTATGCATGTAGTAAGAAATTTCTAGAAGACATCTACACCTGTCAGCTTTCTCCTGTGTGCTATTGTGACGACTTTTTGGGGAATAGAGGGCTTAAATTCACTGAGCACAAATCTATTCAGCTTAATATAAAACATAATCTTCTCTGAAATTCTGTGACACTTACTACTATGCTTTAAAAACACTGACTCCAGCATCCTGTTCACTCTAATTTCTCTCCCTTTTTTTCTAGGTATGTTTATGACAAGAACACTGTGTCATTATCTCAAAGTCTCTAATTCTTCTTGCCTACCTTGACTACATCCATTTCTGATACATTTCACCTCCTTAATGCCATGCCTGAGATGAATGGCTTTTTATTGATGTCTCTGGCTTGTATCATTCTAAGTACATTTCACTTGCTGCTCACTACTCTCTGTGGCTCCCATGTCATAGCAAAGTGATCTTTCAAGAACTCTTGCCATTCAAGTGATTCATTTAAATCAAGAGGATTTGAAAGTGGAACATTATGTCATTCTTTCAACATTTGTTGGTTTCAGAGAAAGTGCTGTATGTTTCTCTCTGGTTTTCTTTTCTTGCAGACACCCAGAACTGGATGATCTCTACAGTCTTAATCTTTAATAGAAGCTTGTCAGATTTACTTTTAATGATGACTCTGTAACTATCCTGGGAAACCTCCCTTTGCACTTCTCCCCAGATCTTCACAACCACTGAAGTAATCTCTACTCTAAAGCATTCATCCCAGCTTCAAAACCTGCCATATGTGCTTGGGGAAGCCTTTGCAAGTTCAGGGAGTGCTAAGCGCACACCTAAGGAGTGAAAGCTTGTTTTTACCACTGATCAGGAGATATTTTAGTACAGAATGATACTTCTTTCAGATTTTTTACAATTATCTGTGCCACAACCCACTTAACATTAATTGTGGTGATCCTCAATCAGTACATTATGGTAGGCTTTAACAGAAGTGGTATTTAATTGATTTGTATGATTTCACAACATCTGAATGTGCAAACTACACCTGGAATAAAAGAATTTTATTTATTTGACTTCCCAGATTGACAAATTTCTTCTTTATAGTAGGAAGACATATGAGTGAAAGGCGTATTTCTTACACAACCTATCAGCCAGATATCTGGGTGTATGTACAAGTGAAAGGTAATGTGATCCTAAAGAGTCAGAAATAGTGACAGTTAATTCTCCTTCTCTCACCTATTTATTCCAACGCTAAATTTGTTTCTTGTGGAGATCCCTTCTGTAGAAAAACAAACTAGTAATATTTAGTGACCTTAAACCACATGACTGAGTCTCTGTCATCACAAGTGCATAAATATGCACCAGTCTGCCAGTGGAAAGTATTATAATGAATGCAAGGCAATGTTTTTGTTCTAATGAGAGACAGCATCTCCATTTGCAGAGTGTAGCATTACTTCGGCTTCTGTTTCAGAAACTCTAAAATGTGTTAGCATAAATATAAAAGTATTTAGGTTTTGGAATATACAAATTAGTGGTTACAACTATTTTACACCTTCCCATATGTATCATCAGTACAATACATTTTTCCCAACAAAGTACTATTCAAACACACTGCAGAGCTGTCTTAGATTGAATTAAGTGAACAACAAAAAATAATAAGAAATAAAACTAGGCACTAGAACTAATAACTAAAACATCCTAAAATCACTAAAAAATAATGTCAAAATTAAAAAAAAAAAGAGAGAGAGAAATGCTTCACTGTATTGTTGTTGTCTTACTCTTTGCTCTTATTCTGCTTCATGGTGGCTGCATATACATCATTATATAAATACATATGTGCCTTTTATCCTGAGTGACCATGCCAATTTCTCCTTGTTTTCAGTTTAGGATGAGTGATATAATAGAGGTGTTTTGGTTTTTTGGTTTGTTTTTTTTTTTTCATCTGATAAAACATAGATTTATGCCATAATGCATTGTCAGTGCACAGGACTAGGCTCTTATTCTCATAATGAGAAGAAAATCATGACCTGGTATCGCTGTTAATGGTGCCCAGAATGTGGTTCAGACTGCTGCTTTTTGAGGTGCAGGTACTTGAAACGCCTGGTGATGGTGTCAGTGGTGATTGTGCACAGGTGTCTGTACATGGGTGAATCCTCGTTTCTGGGTATGAGCTGTTGAACAGCACACACAGACTGCAGAGAGACTAATGAAGGCAGAGCAGGCGAGTTACAAGCCAAGAAATTTGGAAGGAAACAACTGTGGCCATTAGTGTCCATTCCCAGATGACAGCAACAGCAATATGCCCTTAGAAGCCAGTGCAAATCTTAAAAAGGTATTGGGGAAAATCCTTACTGATCATTAGTGAATATATTGTTCTAAACCCTGTTCTAGAGATGTGTTTCACAAAGAGTGCCCACAGAATAAAGGAAAAGGGAGCCTTTCTAGAGGTTTTCACTATTGGAATATGACTTTCAGACCCATAATGAAGTCATGTGAGGAAAGATTTTATTAGGCAGCTTTGTTAGTGTGAGATGTCATATCCCAAGGAGACATGAAGAGGGAGGAAAGGCAAATGCTGCTGTAAAAACTTAGGCAGATGATTTGTATTTTATTAAAAAATAATTCTTGGAGACTTCAGGCAGTAATGTGGATTACTGGGCTACCATGCTGTACTCACACACAAAATTATTAACAGATTTTTCTGAGACCATGTGCCTTACAGTAAGTCACAGTAAATGAAAGCCAAGGGTAGTATAAGAAATCATGTTTAAGTTACATGAGAAGAAGTCATCCTCTTGGCTTAGCCATAAGTTTCCTATGATGGGAAAAAGCTAGAAAGATTGCTTTTGTTTGAGTTTTAGGGGGAGTGTTTATGATTATAAGAAGAGAGTGCTACTATAAAGAGCCTGGCTCAATTAATAAGACATACACACTCAGATGTGAGGGATAAAATGGATAAAAGCCTCATCACTTGCCTTGCAGGATGTAAATACACATACATGTTGAGATAACCATACTTATTCCCCCCTAAATAATATAAACCACTAAAAGCTTAAACATCTATAACTTGAGACTCCTCCCAAGTCCAACCAGTTATGTGTAATTAGTCTGATGCCTCTACACATGTGCAGGTATCAGGTATTTTTGTGCAGTCACGTGAAAACTCTCCGCATACAGGTTCTTCACAGGCCAGAGAACCTTTTCCTTTTATCCCAGTGCCAGTTATTGAAATGATTTATTTTTATTCTTTCATTCTTTAGTGAGAACAATCTAGAGTGTTACTGTATAAATACAGAGACAACAGAAAAAAAAAAAACTTCTTGGCCATTCAAGACGCAGATTTAGACAAGAAGTGATTTTTACCAGCTCTGCAGAGTTTCTAATATGACTGCATTTTCCTATTATATGATTCTTGTTTACATAATAACATCACTATGCAGAGATGTCTCTTTCAAATCATAAGCCTCTTAGTAATAGTCTGGTTTCTTGACATAGTAGTTGATAAAACAAGGACACAGACTGGTATCTGTGAGTTTCAGGAATACAAGAGTATTTGTCACTAAAATATTAATAATCTTGTAAAGCTGACAGATATGAGACTTTTCCAAGTCATAAGAGTATGGACAGATGAAGTGAAAAGAGATTTGTGGCATCCTTTATCATCACACTTTAGGGGAACCTATAAAATGACAGTAAAAAGCAACCAGTGCTTCGCTCAGTCCCCCCCAAAATTCTAGTGCAGCAGTAAAATGGCGTATGTCAGTAATAAAAATAAAATGTCTATGACATTTTAAATGTTATCGTACTGTCACAGTAGAATAAAATTAGCTTGAAGAATGATCTAAAGGGATATGATGCAGTTCATTATGTATAACAGCAATAGCAGCAGTTTCCCAGTGTTCATAAAGGTTTCTCCATTAAATTTACCTCCAGTCAATAATTAGGAGTCCACAAATAAACCTAGGCAATTAAATCAATACTGCTGGGCAATTATGTTTCAAAGTCCTGGCTCAATGGCACAAAAAGACACTATATCAAACTGCAATATTAAGTGATCTGATGCAATTTTCCACTGAACGTTTACTCAGAAAAACAGAAAAGGGCAATCCTGCATCTTTGTTCAAGATGCAAATGGGTAGCACAGTTTGCCAACATGTAACACTTAGCAGGCAGTCAGTTATGAGCAAAACCCTGCAGAAAGCTTACATTTCACCACGGGCTTTAGTTTGCTGATCAGAAATATTACCAAATCTTACTAGAAGAAACCACAACCAAACTCTGCAGGATGTGAGTAAAGCATTTTAAAGGGCACAGAGCTGTTCCATGACCTGCTCTCAAATACAGATGAAGAAATCTTAACTGTTTCCATCTACATGCCTTAGCATGGACAGAAATGAAAAGCAGAGCTGGCTGCTCCCCAAAACCACTATAATCCTCTTTGAATTCTAAAAATGGTCTGCTTGCCAAAAATTACTTCTACCCTCAGTGTTTCTTCTGAAGAACCCCACAAGATGGAGCAAAAATCACAGAAAATCACTATTAACTTGTACACAAACGTACGTGGCTAAGAACAATGAGGTCTTCTATCCTTATATAACATTTGCAATCTTACAAAGATTGCAATACCTGGTTTCATTCAACAATTCCTTCACTCTCCATCCCCTGGTTTTTGCTGTCTGTCTATAGCAGATGAAGAAAAGTGATAAAATTCTGCTTAATATTTTTTAGCAATTTACCAAATAACAATGAAAAACAGAACAAGAAGTCTTCATTGTATTCCACGGATCTGATTCATATTTTGGAGCCCATTATATGAACAGAATATTGAAGTTTATATATTTTTTTTAAATTCTTCAAATGAAGGGAGTTAAGTGAATATAAATAACTGTGCTTTTAATGCTGAGTTTCACGTAGCATTATGAGGTTTAATTAAAATGCCAGGTTTTTTGACAAAGCCAGTAAAAGCACACTGATATTTCTATTTCCTCTGCTGCAGCAATTAAGGAGTCTTCACGGTAGTAAGTTTTGATAATGAAAGAAGGAAAACCTGTCATTTTTTAAAAATCTGGTCACAGGATACGATCTCAACACAAAAGTTTCTGATGGTTAAATACATAAATCTGATGTGTGTGTTTCTTTAAAATGGCTTTCAAAATATTTTCAATCATTCACATTCTTAACTAATACCAACTACATCACTAATGGACCCATGCTAGTGAATATGCATTATGCACTGTATTTACAAATCAAGTTTTATTTCTTTCCAAACATCAACTGCCCGTCATTTAAATAAAAGAGAAAACTAAAAATTTAAATAAAAGAGAAAACTAAAAATGTAGCAGAAAAGTTTCAAGAGTCAGGGTATGTTGTCAGTGATGTCCAAACAAAAGCTGACTATGGGTAGAAAAGCTGGGCTCTCACCTGCCAATAAACTGCCCTTGATCACTTACAAGAGGGGAGCATCCCAGCAGACTCTGTGTGTATTAAAAAAAAAGACTTGAAAGAGAAGAAAAAGTATCACACAGGTCACAGCAGCAGTCTCAATGGACCCCTCAGGGATTTCTGCTAGTCTCAGACTTGTCATCCTCTATGCAGCTTTCCTCTCTGCCCAGAAAATGTCGATAGGAAAATGTTTGAGGGGCCTCTGGTGGAAATTTTTTCATTCTTTCTGCATTGACAGGATGCCAAATCAATATTTACTTCCCACTAACAAGCTGCTCGAGGTCTCAGTAGAAAATATTGTAGAGAATGCGAGAAGACACGATAATAAACAGCTGTCTGGCTATGAGGAAAACATGAATTGACTGGAAACAGGTCCACAGTAAAAGGTCACAGAAACCCATGAACTCCTCAGGTGTCCATAACAACTAGTAACTTTAAAGGCACATTAAAAAAAGTCTCTTTTTCCTAAGAGGTATGAGAGAACACATCATTTTCACTGTAGCAAGCATTATACAGTGTTTCAATAATTCAATTAACACATTTGCCAAAATCTGTGCTGGTTTTTGCCAGCATTGTTTTTACTGGTTATGTTAGCTTAAGTTAGCTGTTAAATTAGCTATCACAAATCCTTGATTAACATCTCTTCAGTTTTACACAGTAACTCGGATTTTAAGAGAAATACAAAGGGAATGCTACAAAACAAGGATTTCACATTGCTCATCACAGTATACTTTGAGACCATCAACAGCATCATAATTACAAATACAATGTATTAATTACAACTAAAATGTTGTAGCTAATCAGAGCAGAAAGTTACAATTCATTGTGGGATTATATAAATTGAGCACCTGTGCTTCAAGAAGTTTCTGTATATGCTGTAGCCATTCTTTATTTTTTTCAAATTCCATTTTTGTTTCTGCTGTTTCCTAAAAACATAAAAACATCAGGAGCAATAAAGGAAATGTGTAACTGGGTATACATTAAATACAGAGCATGTGGAAGTTGGAATCACATTTGCAAAATTAGTTATCTGAAGCATACTCATCAAGTATCAGTGCTCTATTAAATTTTTAAACCTACCCTTGTCTGTGCATGCCTCTAGAAAAATGTGTATAGCATGTTCTTTTCATATGAATATACTGGTGCATGTGTGATCTATGTCTAAATTGTATGAGTTTAATATAAAGGTGCCTAAATCTATGCACTGATAGATAGAATATGTAGTGTATGTGTAGTGTAAATTCATCTCCTGTCTAATAAATTTGTTTTATATTTATAGTTAAGTATGTTTATGTGTTCTACACATATATTCACAGTGACTATAACAAAAAGATACAGGATGTAGAAATTACTCTGAGAATGAGATAAGCATGGAACAACTCTGTCAAAGTGAATCACTATATAGGGTTGTATAAATGTTAGTAAACAGGGCAGGCATCAGCCCATTTTATTTGTATTCATGAGTGTAATCCCTATCAGTGCATATACATACCATGCACTGTTGTTTCACCAACAGGAGAGCTTCCTTTTTGTGGCCTCTTTAATATAAAGCTCCAACAAGGCTAAATCTAAGTCATCACCAGAGTACTGTTACAGGCCAATAATGGCCAGCTCCTAGACACTTGCTAAAGTAACTGCAAAGACTTTTTCATATATTATTTGATCAGGACTAAATAAATCTGGATAAGAAATCCCATCACTGCATCTATTTAACAGAGTGATTTGATGAAACGCTATCAAATATTTCATATTAAAATGTATGATAGAACCAACAAAAAAGGCTATGAATTCACCCAGAAACCATCTGTCTATCAGAAATACCTGTAATAGGTATCACAATTCAGAGAGGAAGTATCAACAAAATCAATCTGGCACAGCAAGACATTTCTAATTTTGTTTCCTTTAATGCTGAAGTCTATTTAAAACATACAATCCTACCAAATAGCCTCACAAAAAAGGAAAATACTGAATAATATCTCTACATACACATGCTCAAAACAGTATGTGTATATTTATGCATGCTCTAAGTCTTGCCACCTTATGAATCTCTAACCTGACCTTTTCATTTAGATTAAACTCTCCTTGGTTTCTGTACTGTATCCTGCACAATGAAATTTCAGTCTTTTCCTGCAAATCCTTTTCTTCAAGGAGGGATGTAGTCAGCATCTTCTCATCTATGCCTTTTTTACTGAAGTCCTTAAAATAATTTACCTAATCATCTCCTTCTTGTAGTATTTCATAAAGATCAGTTGTTGAAACATTAAGGATAGAAAGACACTTTTTGCATGCTTTCATTTCTCCCATTTTTTTGCCAGTTTAATTTTTGTTCTCAGCTCCTGTACACTGTGATGTAACTCTCTGGTTAGAGTCTGGAAGGCATAAGCAAAAAAATACTCTACTGTCATATTTTAATAGTGCAAATAAGATGGAAAAAATAGTATCATTTAGACTAAGCTCATTTAGATGGGAATTATCTTCATTCTATGTTATTTGTTCAACAGAATATTAAATAACATGCTACTTAGAACAAAAAATATTAATTAATACAGTAAACAAAAAAATGTTCTTAAATGTACATACTGTTTTGGTATGTCTTTAGCAAAGTAACTATTCTTATAATGCTACTATTAGTAAGACAAAGCAACTTCCACAGAATCAAAATCCTTTTCTGACACAGTCTAACAGAAATGTTCTTGAAATAAGAACATAAGTGTCAGGCTTCATTGTGGTCAAATAGAGATTTATTTTTTTGAAGCTTATTGACATTCTCTGCATGCAGAAGCACCAGTACACCTCTTTATTCAAAATCTGAAATTTGTTTCCCACCAGGAGAGAGTTATTCAAAACTGTCCTGTCTACCAAGCTCCTATCTTACCTACTTCTTAGATTCTTTGGTTCAATGAAATAACACTAAACATCAGAGTAATTAATCAGTTTTATAACTGAAGTAATTTTGGTTTAATATTTATGTAACTATGACAAAAATATTTCATCAAAAGCTGAGCAAGACAATTTTATTTAAAAATTGTTGACTAACAAACAAGAGTACTAATCCATTTTCAGAAGATCCTCCTAAAATATTCAACTTCCATGACTCAAATAGAACCATGATGGTGAACACAAACACCTTGACTGAGCTAAAAATGAGCAAAGAAGGTTTTCTTTTGATCATCCTAGTAAAGCTCATCTTATTAAGATACATCTCAAGAGTAGCTGATCAGCTCCTCAAAATTCGTATCATATAGAATACTTTAATTTCCTAAAAACTGACTACAGGATTATGAAGCCTGTTTACTGGCATTTTGGGTAAAGTATTCTACAGCCTCTAGTGTATTTGAAACAGTCATTAGAGAGTATTTGCTAATACATTTCAACAAAGGCACAGCAGACACATCCAATTCCAAGATTTTTTCTTCCTACCACTTCCCAACTTAACATTTTTCTGTATTTAATAAAATTTAGTTATTAAAAATAAAAACATCCTGCCACAAATCTGGGGAGAGAAGGTACAGTGAAATTTGTCCAATTTTCTTATTTAAGTGTGGGTACCTTCATCCACAGAATTTCCAACAAACTATTTTGGATATAAACTTATCTGCAAGTGCAGAGCTGAGAGGAATGAAGAAACTTGAAGTGTAATGGGCAGGGACCTAGGGAAACTTGAACTAAGAAGGAAATAGACTACGAGAAGAGGGAGCTACCCCAAAAAAAGCACATACTATGAAAAAAATACAGTTAAATCACATGTTTTTGTAGCATTTGAAATTATCTAGGAGTAAATTGGCTCTTGCAACATATAGGAGATATATTTGACAATGGAAAAGTAAGTTCAACCCCACTTTTTCAATCAAATTGAATCAGCTTCCCATGTTTTAAAATGACATCTCTCTCAGGCATAAGTGATCACTCTAGAAGATGCACATGTGTAATCTGATGCAAAGAGGAAATGTAAATTAAAGGAGAAAAATAGCAAGAAAATTACCTGCAAAGCCACTTGGAAAGGCTACACAAAACAATAAAAAACAAAACCAAAACCAGAAAAAATAGAAGCATGATAATAAATAATGTTAAATACTCATTCGAATGCCTCAGAGAAAACAGAAACATTGCCAGGCAACAGTCATTTGACATTATTACATAAATGGTATTGGTGTATCCAAATTCCAAAAGAAGTTAATGATGAATGAACAAGCTGATAGCAACAGTGTAATTCAGAAACTGCAACTCCAGTGTGATTGGCTTTTACTCCACAGTTCCAGAAATGAAGGTGCCAGAAAGGTATCAGAAAGACATGGAAGAATCTATAGCAACAATTTTTAAAAAAGGAATAAAAAATTGAAAAAAAAATTAAGAAAAGAATAAAGAAAAAGCAAGTTTAAGCAGAAATCACAGAAAGAGAAAATTATAATGAATAGATTTTAATATGCAAGCGTATACTTTACATATAATCACAGCAGATCATTCATATGGAGGACTTGCACTTCAATTTCTCTGTCCCTTGAGCAGTTCAAATACACTAAAGCATATGCAAAGCACAAAGCATATGTGAAAAATAAGGCTATTTTATGGACTTTAAAAGTGGACTCTGAGAGACTAGCTATATTTAAACCTCCCTCCTTCATGTTATTGATATAATGTTTTGATATAAATTTTATCACTAAATAAGTGCCTTGAAATTTATAGTCTTCCTATGATTTTAAGTTGCTTTTTCTTTTGTTATTTTCAAATCCATCATATGCTAATGTATTCATGTGCTAAATTGTTTACTTATTAGTGATACAATTTATATGTCAGTTCATACACCAATACAGATATGTTCAGTCTCAAGCCACACAGCTTTTAGAAACTGAAAGACCCATTTCCAAACTCAAAAGTACAGACTCAAGAGTTAAGCAACCCAGGTTTTGCTGATGAGTGTACTGAAGGCAGTATAACATTGTTCTGTGATTAAGAATTTGATCCAATGCATTCTGGAGCTAGATGTAGGAATTTGAATGAAAACATTTCCCTCTGTGTATTACAAAATTGTTTATTTTTAAACTAATAAGCATACATAGGTGATGCAAGCTACCTAAAATGAAATCAGTGCAGTACATGACTTCTGTACTATGCTGAATTATAACAATGCCTTTATTAGTACCAGTAACACTAGGATTTGAGATTTTATCTTTGTTTTTTTTTTCTTTTGCCGTCAAATATATAGGATATTTTGTTAGCAAAGCCCTTTTCCTAACTTAGATGTTACTATCAGAGTTAGTCTTGTGGGACACAGTTTGCTGCTACCAGCCAACTAGAATAGGAATTCTTGATTAATTCCTGAAATGAATCTATACTACTTCTTGTCAGACCAGTGCAACTACTCCTGATCTGACAAGAAAAAAAAGAAGCTTAAAATTCTAACAAAATTACCTTAAGGTTCCTAGTTCTTTTTAATCATTACAATTGTTGGGTTAACAACCAACTCCATATCTTTCCTATAATAAACATTACAGATGTTGGGTTACAAATAATTCTGAGATCTCTCCATTACAAACCTTTTTACTTCATTTTCACTACCTCAAATATTCATTCATAAGAATATATTGTTTTCAAATTTGGCCTCAGCATGTAATCACTTCTTAGCACTGCATCTTTTGCCAGTTTTGAGATGTATAAAGACAAAGGTCTTCTTTCAATTAGAAGGTCATATTTAATTAAACACTCAAAGAAGCCTTGATGGCACAAAGACCCTGACAGCACACTATTAACAAGGCCTTCACATCCCAAAACAGTGACACTCATACTGACACTCGTTGATCCTGGAATTAAGACAGTTTGATCAATGGCCTTAAGTAATGTTGTATGACCAAGGCAACGCCAAAAACTTTTCCTGTAATTACCATGTTAATTTATATACTATTATTGTTTGTAG